CTGATCTTTCAAGTGCAGTCTTAGGCTTACAGAAAAGAATACATCCGGAAGGTTAATGAAGAGTACATTTAAAAATATCCCCAACCCCTTTTAACTTTGTTAACCTAGAGAAACCGAGTTAGGATTGACGGGCTGGTTATATCCGTCCTTCCTGTGACACTGCACCTATATTTCTCACCAGGAATGCTGACGCTGTCAACCTCTGACTCAAAGGCCTTTTGGGGACATCTTGTGAAAATGTTTGATACTGCAGCTCCGCACACCAGAAAGAGAAGCAGCACAGGCTCCCAGGATTCCGTCTGAAAATGCCGGGCACCAGGCCAGCGTGCCCTGGGCCCCGCCCAAAACTCCAGTGATGCCAGCCAAAGCCCCAACTCAGACAAAGGAGAGCCTCACGGCAGGCGGCAAGGACGCTTCCCAAGACGTGCTTCCGCCATAGGCAGGTGGGGTGGATTTACCGAGATGCCAGGCACAGATTGCGAGCCTGTCCAACCCAGCGAGAGAAAACGCTCAGCATCTGCAAACATCTGCTCCTACCCACCGCACTGTGCCCAGGTCCAAACTGGGCTTGAAAGGCAGGGCTGGTGACTCCCACGGGGTTGACTCTGACGCTCCAGCCAGCGGCCACGGCCGACTTCGCCCGTCTCGGTGACGCTCCAGTCACGGCCACGGCTGACTCGCTCCCGCCCGGTGACGCCTCACAGCAGGGCCACGGCCGACTCGCCTGCTCTGACGCCCAGCCAAAGGGCCACGGCCACTCGCCCACCCTGAGTGATACCCAGCCAGCAGGCCACGGCCGACTGGCCCGCCTGAGTGACACTCCAGCCAGCGGCCACGGCCGACTGCCCACCCTGAGTGACACCAGCCACATGGGCCACGGCCGACCGGGCCCGCCTGAGTGACACTCCAGCCAGAGGGCCACGGCCGACCCCCCTGCCTGGACGCCTCCAGCCAGCAGGGCGACGGCCGACTGCCGCCCCACCCTGAGTGGATACTCCAGCCAGGAGGGCCACGGCCGACTCTCCCCTGCTCTGACGCTCCACAGCAGGGCCACGGCCGTACTCGCCTGCTCTGAGTGACGCTCTGGGGACACCTTCAAGCCCCCATCAGGGAGGCCCAGGTTCCACCAACTTTTTTTTGAGAAGGGTCTCGCTCTGTCATCCAGACTGGAGTGCAGTGGCACAAACATGGTTCACTGCGGTGCCTTGAGGTCCTGGGCTCAAGCAATCCTCTCACCTCTGTCTCCTGCTGGTGGGACTCCGGGCATGCACCACCACACCTGGCTAATTTTTGTATTTTTGTAGAGACGGGGTTTTGCCATGGGCCCACGCTTGGTCTCGAACTTCAGGTTCAAGTGGATCGACTACTTGGCTCCCCCAAAGTTTTCGCCTTACAGGCCTGAGCCACCACGCCTGGCCTTGCTCTTAAGTTTTATACTTCAATACTCCGTCAAATCAAGACAGAAACTCCAGCGCATGAACCAGGCGCTGCCCCTCCCGCTGAGAAAACGTGCCAGGCTGTTTGGCTCTTTGGTGAGAGTGCTAGACACGCTATCCAACAGAGACACACCAAGCTGACCACCCAGTTTCCAAATTTGAGCAACCACAGCAAACCCAGCAAGTGAAATTCATTTTAATGCTTTATTAATCCACATATTCAAAATATTATTTCAACATGTAAATATTTTTAAACAAGGGAATTATATTTTAATGCTTTATTAACCTAGCATATTCAAAATATTATTTCAACATGTAAATATTTTTTAAACAAGTGAAATTCATTTTAATGCTTTATTAACCTAGCATATTCAAAATATTTCAACAATTTTTTTTTACTCTTCAGGCCTTGGTTTTATTTGCATTTCTAGAAATATACACACACTTCTAACTCTGTGCTACAAAAATTATACAGCAGTCCCCGTTTATCCTCTGGGGATCTGTTCCAAGCCTCCAGTGGATGGCCTTCCGGACCCCACTCTACAATAAAGGCAACATGGAAACAATACTTTTAGCAGTGAGTGAGAGAGAGAGAGAGAGACAGATAGACAGACAGACCGATAGATATTTGGTATTGTCTTCAAAGCCCAGTGTGTTTTGGATACTTTTTTTTTTTTTTTTTTTGAGACAGAGTGTCACTCTGTGGGCCAGGCTGGAGTGCAATAGCACAATCTCAGCTTACTGCAACTCCTCCTCCTGGGTTCAAGTGATTCTCCTGACTCCCAAGTAGCTGGGATTACAGGCATGTGCCATCACGCCTGGCTAATTTTTGTGTTTTTAATAGAGATGGGGTTCACCATGTTGGCCAGGCTGGTCTCGAACTCCTGACCTTGTGATCCGCCTGCCTCAGCCTCCCAAAGTGCTGGGATTACAGGTGTGAGCCATCGCGCCTGGCTTTTTTTTTTTTTTAATGAGACAGTCTTGCTCTCTGTCACCCAGGCTGGAGTGCAGTGGTATGATCACAGCTCACTGCAGCCTTGACGTCCCCAGGCTCAGGTGATCCGCCCACCTCAGCCTCCTGAGTAACTGGGACCACATGCACACACCATCATGCCCGGCTACTTATTTTTTTGAGATACTTCATCTTACTACATTGCCCAATCCTGTCTCAAACGTCTGGGCTCAAGCAATCCGCCCACCTCAGCCTCCCAAGGTGCTGGGATTCCAGGCGTCAGCCACTGGGCCCGGCTGGAAACATCTCAATTTGAACATTAAATTATCAGAACATTGTTTTTTAAGACTTTAAAAACATTTTTTCATTAGAACACCTCACCTGCAAATTCAGTTCACATACCCAGGTTCCTAATGTACCTAAGTTTTCCACTGACTGAACCAAGTTAGTGGTTTTTAAACTTAACCACACTGAACACTGTGCCGTCTGCACTCTCACTGCTCCACAGCACACATGGCTGGCAGTGCTGGAGAGGCAGGGAAACGGCTTGTCCAGGCGCAGTCCCAGACCAGACATGTCACCCAGGCAGCTCCAGGTGTAAACCTGAGTCCATCTCAGACCACAGAATCAGGGCCTCGGGGTGGGGTCCAGCACCCTCCCGAAAGGAGCCCTGTGTTTTGACACAGGCTAGGGCTTGGGAACTGCTGGCCTAGGACAGACCCCATGAAATAAGCACAGAAACAGTCACATGTCACCTAGTGTCAGGGATGTGCGTGGTCAGGTGATTGCACTGTTGTGCAAACACCCTAGAGTGACTGACACAGTTCGACGGTCCGGCCTCCTCCACACCTAGGCTGTAGGGCGTAGTCTGTGGCTCCCAGGCGACAAACGTGTGCAGAGTGCGAGCGCGCTGAATGCTGTGGGCCACTGTGGCACGGCGCTGCGTGTTTGTGCTTCTAAACCTAGGCCTGGTGCGGTCCAGCCTGCTGGGAGGATTACATCCCAGCATTCTGTGGGACTGAAGGGTGACCAGCTTGTTTTTTTCGAGATGGAGTCTTGCTCTGTCACCCAGGCTAGAGTACAGTGGTGCGATCTCGACTCCCTGCAACCTCTGCCTCCTGGGTCCAAGCAATCTTCGTGCCTCAGCCTCCCAAGTAGCTGGGATTACAGGTGCCCACCACCACGACTGGCTGCTTATATTTTTAGGGGGGACGGGGTTTCACCATGTTGGCCAGGCTGGTCTCAAATTCCTCCAAATACCACAATGTACCCCATCAATATGTACAATTATGTCAATTAAAAGTAATAAAAGCAAACAAGTTTGTGACAAATTGAAATAAAAAGGTAGAGTAAAAATACAGCATCATCGCGTGGTCTGTCGTTGACAGAAACATTGTTTGCCTGACTGCAGGTCTGATCACCTTTTCATACAACGGAAACAATACAAACCCTTTCCGTGACATTTTTAGATGGTGAAACCAGAAAAAAAAAATGCAGTGGCTCGTGTTTTTGTGAACTCTCAGCGGAATGCCTGGGTGGGCACATCTGGATGGCCAGGGCAGTTCAGATCAGGACGGAACTCGGGGGCATTTTGTTTCACCTTATTCCAGCACCCTCTAAGTTCCCAGGAAATCACTGCACTCTTGACGTGCATAGCGGCTGTCAGTATAAACCTAAGACCAGTATTTATGTTACCCGTGTTCATCGCTTCACAAAATCAGACAGTGGTGGAGAGTGTCAGGCCACGAAGGGTGCATCTGTCATCTAAGCCACGAAGGACTGTGGACCTCACACCCCACCCTCCCTCCCCTCCCGCACATTGTTTTGGCTTTCTGCTCTTCAATCCTATCAAACCCAGTTTCCTGTAATCTCCAGTACTTGAGGAAGCCCTATCCTGCCATTGTCGTTTTAAGTCACTTCTGGAAGTTTCCACTGCTTTGTCACTGGACAGAGCCATCTTCAACACGTGGCATTTTGCAGCTTTGCTGGTGCTGAAATCACATCCAGGTGCAAAGCAGCTGTCTCTCAGGCTGGCTGGCTGCTGACAACCGTGCTTTTTTGTTTTTTGAGATCGAGTCTGTCTCCCAGGCTGGAGGTTCAGTGGCACAATCTCGGCTCACTGCAACCTCCGCCTCCCAAGTTCAAGTGATTCTCCTGCCACAGCCTCCTGAGTAGCTGGCATTACAAGCGTGTGCCACCACCACACCTGGCTAATTTTTGTTTTAGTAGAGATGGAGTTTCACCATGTTGACCAGGCTGGTCTCCAACTCCTGACCTCAGGTGATCCGCCTGCCTCCACCTCCCAAAGTGCTGGGATTACAGGCGTGAGCCACTGCACCTGTTTTAAGAAGTTGGCTGTGGCAGGGACAATTGGTCCAGGAAGACACACCACCTCTCACACAGCGAGTCCTAGCCCCTTGGAGGTCAGGAGCAGGCACAGCCGTGCCTCAGGGAATGTGAGTAGTGCCTGTGGCCACCGCTGGACAAGAACCCTCAGCCAGGCAGGTGATGTCCTTCCCCCTTCTCGGCCAGAGGGCCACATCGTTACAGAGGCAACATGGTGAAGAGCCCACAAGTGAGCCGTCTGGTGTTTGCTGGTTTTGAACTCCTGACCTTAGGTGATCCACCCACCTCGCCCTCCCAAAATGCTGGGATTACAGGTGTGAGGCACCACGCCCAGCCTAATGTGTGTATTTCAATGGGAAAGTTTCAAGGTTTCAGGCTATTTGCCATTAGAAGTACGGGGGTACCCGAGTGCGGAAGTTTTCTAGAGTGGAGATAACCCACACGGCAGCACGGATGGGAAGGACCTAATCACTCTACTTTCCACCACAAAGAAAGAACAGCTCTCTTCAGGTTTGTCTTGAATGACACAGAAGTGTTGGTCTGAAGATCTTGGAGGGCAGAAAGGTGTTTCAGAAACCAGCTCTGCGACGCTGCTGCTGCTGAGAGCTTGTGGAGTGAGCTGCTTTTGTAACCTGGGGCCCCGGTCCTGTGTCCTTCATCCACCCTGAAGTCACACCACTGGAGCATCGCGTCACACTGTAGTTACACACGCAGCCTTTCCGTGGTCACCACTGAAGAGCTGCAGCACCCCACACAGACCTAACTGCGTTCACATGAGCCGGGTGAACCAGTTGAGTCGCTGGGCCAGCCCTCCAGGAGCCAGGGCGAGGAAATCTCCTGACGGCTTGGATTCAGAGGCTGTCATGGGTGAACACCTACAGAGAGGGTGGATGGTCAGCTCAGCCTCCAGGTGCTGACCACAAGAACCCACACAGCTTCCTGCAGGTAAGCGACTACCACCAACCCGGCCCAGGGATGGACACAAGACACCACCAGGTACAACAGCTTAGCAGATGCAGATGCCTCCCAATCTGACAAATATTAGCATTATGAGTTGAATCATATCCCCACAAGACATGCTGGAGCCCTAGACTTGGTACCTCAGAGTGTGACCTTCTGTAGAGACAGGGTCTTTCCAGAAGTCACAAGTCTTTAAGGGATCACGAGTGTGGGATCACATGACCAGCATCCTTACAAAAAGGGGAAGTCAGGACACACACAGAATGCAGCGTGAAGATGAAGGTGGAGACGGGGGTTGTGCATCGACCAGCCCTGAGATGCTGGGGAGAAGAAGCCGATGCTCCCCGCAGGCCTCAGAAGGGGCCGGCACTGCCGACACCCTGCACCTGGACTTCCAGCCCCCAGAACTGTGACAGAACCGATTTCTGTGGTTTGAGCCGCCCAGTTTGTAGTACTTGGTGACGGCAGTAGTGGGAAATGAGAACCAGAATCAACCTCAGCATTCAACTTTATTATAGTCCCATCTCCCTGAACAAACAAGGTCAGCAGTCAGTGTGGGCCGGTGCTCGATGGGGCGCCGCCTCCCACTAGAGTGCAAGCTGCTTCCACGCAAGCTACTGCGTGTTCCAAGCCATCGCAGCTGAGTCTCTTCTCACCCGGCTTTGACAGTAGGGCGACTCCCGTGTCTGCAGCTGTGGTCCAAAGGGTGTCTGTGCTGGATACAGAAGTTGCCGTGACACTGGGCACATGCCATCTGCAGCATCTCTTTCTTCTTGCAGCCCTCTTTTGAGCAACGGTACGTAAAAATCTGAGAGAGCAAAATGACTTCAAGAAGTTGTTCTTTTTTTGGAGACAGGGTCTCGCTCTGTTGCCCAGGCTGGAGTGCAGTGGCTCAATCTCGGCTCACTGCAACCTCTGCCTCCTGGGCTCAAGTGATTCTCCTGCTTCAGCCTCCCGAGTACCTGGTACTGCAGGTGCACACCGCCACGTGAAGCTAATTTTGTCTATTTTAGTAGACATGGGGTCTTCCCATGTTGTCCAGGCTGGTCTCAAACTCACGTGAGATCCTCCCACCTTGGTCTCCCAAAGTGCTAAGAATACATGTGTGAGTCACTGTGCCGGCCTTAATAAGAAATTCTTTTAACAGCCCCCAGTAAGAACATTCACATTTAAACTAGATATGGCTCCTGTCTGCACAGAGTACAGATGCAAAATTTCATTTGACCATCTCAGTGCAGGTAAGAAGAACATGGGGCCGGGCACGGTGGCTCATGCCTGTCATCCCAGCACTTTGGGAAGCCAAGACGGCTGAATTGCCTGAGCTCAGGAGTTCGAGACCAGCTTGGGCAACACGGTGAAACCCCATCTCTACTAAAATATAAAAAATTAGCCAGGCATGGCAGCGTGTGCCTGTAATTCCAACTACTCGGGAGGCTGAGGCAGGGGAATTGCTAGAATCAGGGACGCAGAGGTTGCAGTGAGCAACCTCGCGCCACTGCACTCCAGCCTGGGCAACAGAGCAAGACTTTGTCCCTTTAAAAAAAACAAATAAATAAAAGCCAGCATTGAAGCTGGGATTCCCGTGAAGATGGCCCGGAGGTACTGCTGGGAGGACAACAGACAGCAGCAGCCAGGAAGCAGGGAGTGGGAGGGAAGGAGGCCAAGCACAGGTGACAGGCAAGCCCTACAGAGGCACTGGCTCCACGAGCTCTGGGACAGGGGAGGTTGTCCCCATCAAGGAAAATATCTATCATGTTCCTGTACCCAGTATTTTTTTTTGGTGTCAGGGTGTAGGCAGCCATGTAAATTCCTAGGAGTCAGAACTCCAAAAGGGGAAGGCGGCAAGCAGAGTGGGGAGGGTTCCAGCAGCAGGGGGTGGCCCTCCGGCCAAGGCAGGCAGGCATGGCCATGCTGAGCGACCATGCAGGAGGGACCCATGCAGGGATGCAGGCAGAACAGACCATCCCCGCCCACAAGGGCGGGAGCAGAGTGGGCCAGCAGCAGCCTGGAGGGCACACCTGTGCGAGGGCCTTGCGGCAGTGCTAGGTGAGCCCCCACCAAGGGAAACTGTGTCGTGTGGGAGAAGTGGGTACGCCAGAGAGAGCTGTGGTGTCTCAGAGGCTTAAGAGACCTCCAAAGGCTGAGGGTCCCAGGACACAGTCACAGCAGGGGGAACCAGACAGGGCCAGAAAGGGGGGGACCAGAGCAAGCTTCCGTACAGAGGGTTTTGTGTGGCAAACCAAAGAACACCGATTTTATTCTCTATGTTTGAGACTAAGAGTTACTTGGTTTATGGTAATATAATTGTAAAGTACCGAACATCATATACTAAGATAGTTTGTAACCACCAACCAGGACCCGTGACTAGGAACAGATTAAGCCTGACAGTAGCCAGCTCCCTAGAGAAGCTCCTTGAGCTGGGTGTGGTGGCTCACGCCTATAATCTCAGCACTTTGGGAGGCTGAGGCAGGCAGACCATGAGGTCAGGAGTTCCAGGACCAGCCTGGCCAACACAGTGAAACCCTGTCTCTGCTGAAAATACAAAAATTAGCTGGATGTGGTGGCATACACCTGTAGTCCCAGCTACTCGGGAGGCTGAGGCATGAGAATCGCTTGAACCCAGGAGGCGGAGGTTGCGGTGAGCCAAGACGGCACCACTGCACTCCAGCCTGGGTGACAGAGCGAGACTCTGTCTCAAAAAAAGAAAAAACAGGCCGGGCGCGGTGGCTCAAGCCTGTAATCCCAGCACTTTGGGAGGCCGAGACAGGCGGATCACGAGGTCGGGAGATCAAGACCATCCTGGCTAACACGGTGAAACCCTGTCTCTACTAAAAAATACATAAAACTAGCCGGGCGAGGTGGCGGGCGCCTGTAGTCCCAGCTACTCGGGAGGCTGAGGCAGGAGAATGGCGTGAACCCGGGAGGCGGAGCTTGCAGTGAGCCGAGATCCGGCCACTGCCCTCCAGCCTGGGCGACAGAGCGAGACTCCGTCTCAAAAAAAAAAAAAAAGAAAGAAAGAAAAAACAAAAAAAAGAAACGAAATGCACATGAACAGAATGGATCTAGAAAGCCATGTGAATTCTCCGTCTCAGGAGGTAAACTAGTAAATTCCAGTCAAGAACGATGAACCTGACCTGGGATCCCTCATATTAAAGAACATTTATAAAACTCAAAACTCAGGCCGCTCGCAGTTTAGCACAGGGACAATGCAGCCTTAGGTCTCAACTTTTCTACTTTGTATATCAACCATTGAGACTAATTTTCAGGTAGAAAACTGACTCTTCCCAAGGAAAAACCAGGCTTCTCGGATGAAGGAACTGAGGTGGGTTCTGTCCTTACCTTCTCTTTCTTCTTCCCAGGATGAGAGTCACAGTGTCTGTCAATGTGATTGCTAACCACCACGTCTGGTATCTGGCCCTTTTTCACTGGGATGGGGGTATTACAGAGTGGGCATACCGGGACCTGAACATCCTAAAAATAACAAAGGTAAGATGGCATCTGAGACTCATACAACCTACACTCACGAAAGTTTTAAACGGGTACTCCTGCGCGGCACACACAAACACAGAGCACAAAAACCGGTCTCCCGAGCCCTCTGACACAAAGCATCGTTGGGTCACGGATTAGCGGCAGCTGTCTCTAGAATGTGGGCATCAGCTGCCCTAAGGAGTCTAGTGAAATTTCAACGAATGGACTTCAGCCGACTGCAGAAACCAACTGGGGCCATCTCAGGCTGGCACCGCCCAGGTGAGAGCAGAGCCTGCCCAGACGCCTCCACAGGGAGGAGATGGAGGGAAACACGGACCACAAAGACCCTCCAGCTCCCCTCAATCACCAACGGCCTGATCCCCTCTGCGGTTTCCCGGCGGCTTCTATGTACCTGGAAAGTTGTTAGTGCCCAGATGAGGCCACGTGTAACCAGGGCGAGCTCCCAGGCACTAACAACCATCACTGGCTGCAGGCAAAGGTTGCAGGGGCTCTGAGGGGTGGACTGCCCAGCAGCTGAAGGCCCAGCAAGGCTAAAAACCTGAGCCAGGACAGGAGTTGATGGAAAGGCCAATGAGAAAACTGAGGTGGCAACCGACATCAAACAGGTGACAGGTGATCACAGAATTATGGGCACGCCATCTGCAGCCCGAGCTGGGAGAGTCACAGGTGGTGGTGCTCCCTCATTTGGTCAAATGGAGAAATAAAGTATTAGTAAACGGTCTCCAGCCAGACCTCTCCCATGCCGGGGCAGGAAGGCGCAGTGGGAAGACACGCTGGGCAGTCTGGCTTAGTCATCCGTGCCTAGTAAACGCAGGGAATATGAGTCACTCTCCCCACCCTCGGTGATGACCTAAAAATGGCTGGAGGGTCAGACCCTGGCCAACACTGGTCAGAGCACAGAATGCTGGGCCACCCACATTACCACCGCCACCAGGGTCAAGCGGCAGAGTTCACCAAAACGAACTGTGACCTAACCAGAGACAAAGCGAACATGGGCTGGGAACCATCTGAAAAGTCAACAACAGAAGTCTCAAACCTCTGGACTCGGGGGCAAGCTCATGTCCTTAGAGTCCTCTTTCAGTTTCTACTGTGTACTCTGGCAGTCACCAAAGTACGACGTCAGGGCTGCAGTTATTCAAATAAATAAGCATATTTACTGCCTTCCTGATTGGCTTCCAAGTCAAATATTAAAACCTCTCTTGCATCCCGTGAAGACACAGCTATGGTGTAACGGATCAAAGGAACCATGTATTTGAACATCTTTTTTTTTTTTGAGATGCAGTCTCGCTCTGTCGCCCAGGCTGGAGTGCAGTGGTTGGATCTCAGCTCACTGCAAGCTCCGCCTTCTGGGTTCACGCCATTCTCCTGCCTCAGCCTCCTGAGTAGCTGGGACTACAGGCGCCCGCCACCATGCCCGGCTAGTTTTTTGTATTTTTTAGTAGAGGCGGGGTTTCACCGTGTTAGCCAGGATAGTCTCGATCTCCTGACCTCGTGATCCACCCGTCTCGGCCTCCCAAAGTGCTGGGATTACAGGCTTGAGCCACCGCGCCCGGCCCTTGAACATCTTAAGTAAGCCTGGAACACAAGGTTACAACTAAGTGACTCCATGAGTCCCTGACAACAGGATCTCAGTTGCCTGAGAGTCATCCAACAGAAAGTCCTGTGAGGGCAGAAACGTTCATCTGTACTGCCTAACAGCGGGCACGTGAAACAAGGCTAGTGGGATTGAGAAACCGGATTTTAAAATTTAAGTTTCACTGAGTTAGCCACGCGTGGCTAGTCCTACCATACCAGCAAGACAGTGTAGCTTCAGACAGTGAAGATGAGACTCTTTTGAATCAAGAATGAATTACCTTCTGGAATGCAAACGGACACTTATGTGCAGCGTATGTAAAATGGTCTTTACAGAAATCTTGTTTACACGCATCACATTTTACTGGAAGAAAATCTAAAACACAAAAAACAGGGAAGTGTTTTAAAGACTGGAACAAAATAATTCTAGATGGGACTATCAAAGTGTTTACCTACACTGAGTGCTTCCGGCTTATAAGATGGATAGGTCCTCAAGGCCCACACATGCGAAAACAATCCCGGGGCCAGGCTGTCTTCTAGAGAGAGACCCCATGGCATGAGGCATTGCAAGTACTCAAGCAGCACACTGGATCCACTCAGCCCTGCCAGCCCGCTCCCCTGCACCCCGCCTGTGGTGGATGCTAAGTGTCCAACAGAACCTGCAGCAGCGCAGTTCCCAATACTGAAAAGCCAGGAAGCCCAAGACACAATTATCAGCTAATTAACATAACAGTCAGCTTGCCCCCAACAAAATACCATTTTCCATTAAGTCTCTTAAAAGTACTTACCTAGCTGCTTGCAAGTTTTTTCTGAACAATGCTTCCCCAAATCAGGAAACTCCATTATGAGAATAGTACTCAAAACGCTGAGGGCAGAGTTAAGTTTTATCACCTACAAGAATCAGAATAGTTAGGAGGAAAGTTGGACTGCCCTTCAGTCACCAGGATTTACAATTTATAGCTAATGAAAGTCAACAAACGCGCTGCGTGGGGAGCGTTCAATGGAGTTTCAGTACAAATACCAGGTGTCGGCCATTCGTAATCAATCCCATTAAGAGACACGGACTCCTTTCTAGCCCTTTTAATTCCTAGTCTATGAAGCACTCCTTGAACTCGGGTTTCTATTTCAACTCACAATGAGGGGGCGAGAGCCAATTCACACAGCTGCCAGTGATTATTACGATTCTGGTAAATTTTAAGTCACAATTTTATCCATGGAATATACTTGTTGACATAAACAAAACTCTGTTACTTAGGTGCTAAATCACGTTAGCTGACTCCATTATCCAGAGGAGATTTGACTCTGTCCCTCGCCTCTCTGTTCAACTCCCCTAGGCACTGAGTCTGTGAACTTATTCCTCGATGACATCAACCTGGAGTTGATCAGGGAGAAGCGCAAGCTGTTAAGTCACCATGGAAAACAGGCAGACAGCTGGTGAAACTGCTGCACTCGAGAGAGAATTAAGAGGTTCACGAGGTCCCCTCCATGATCTAGTACCCAGCAGCCCTCCTGGGGCCTTTTCCTGGGGCTCACGAGGTTCCCGTCATCCAGTACCCACTAGCCCTCCCGGGGCCTTTTCCTGACCTTCCCATCAGCTCTCTCCACCATCCTGGAGGCCTCCTAGGCTGTCCCCTGTGACTGGAACACTCTTGCCCACAGCAAACGTCTACTCATCCCCTCCCGTCTCGGTTTAAAGCCACTCCAAGCCTCCCCAGTTCCCTCTAAGTTACACACCCGCTACTCAAGGTGCCCCTTAGTTCTTTCCCTGCCCATATTCGCCCACAGTTTCCAACTACGGATCAGTCGCTTTACTATTAGCTCCCCGTGCCCGACACACAGCAAGCGTTCCGAAACTGTTTTGTTCAAGGAATTCACAAGAGTTTGATGTGAATCCCCAGATGATTTTGTTCTGGACGCACAACAGCCGTCCAAGGAAGCCAACACCCTACCCTGGCGGGCCGGGCCTGTAGCAAGAAAACAGACACATCTACGTGGCTGTCGCTCGGCTGGCGAGTTAACAACGATCCCGTCCGACTCGGTACTACGGCCCCGATGGCAGGCCCGGCCCCCAGCAGACAGCCGGACTCCCAGCCGCCAGACCCCCGGCAGGCCCGGCCCCCAACAGACAGCCAGACCCCCAGTAAGCCCGGGCCCCAGCAAACAGCCAGACTCTCAGCAGACAGGCCGAACCCCCGAGCAGCCTGACCTCCCTGGCAGGCCTGACCCCTGGCAGACTCTGGCCCCGGGGGACAGCGTAATCCCGGCCCCGTACCTGGCTCTCGTGCGGGACCCAGGCACCTGCGGTGAGTAACAGATGGAGGAGACAGAAACGCAGGTGTCCTCCTTCGTAGTCGGCTCCGGGTACCGAAGCAGAAAGAACCTCGACACTGGGACCGAGACGCTGTCGGACGCACACTTACGACCACAGCAAAACGCGACATCGCGGCGCCAGCGGCCTGCGGCCATTTATCTGCAGCCCCGGACCTGAGAGACGTCTCGGCCTTCGGGTTTCCGGGCGCGCCCCGACGGCGTCTCCCGGAGACCGGCCAATCCCGCCAGGCCGCGGCCCAGTAGCCTCGGCGCGCCTCGAAGACGTCACCAGCCATCCGGCCAATCCCACCCCGCCGCGCCGCGCAGGCCCGCCCACTCCTCGCCCTTCCGCTTCCCTTCTCGAAGCGTCTGGTCGCTTCTCGCAGGCGGCGCGCTTGCTGAGTCACAGTGAGGCGGCTCCGCGCAGGCTCAGTCGGGCGGGCGAGGCGCGGGGAAGCTCTCAGGGCTGCGGCCAGGGTCCTGTGGGGCAGGAGCGCTAGGCTGGCCTGAGGGAGGAGGGCTAGCGACCCATCCGGCGCCTCCCGCCCGGCCCACCCGCCGACGGCCGCGCCTCCTGCGGGTGCCAGGAGGCCTCCATCTCAAAACAACGTGTTTTTAGGTCATTTCAAACTTAGGGAAAAGCTTCAAGAATAATAGCGAAAATGTCAGTGTCCCCAGCACCTGATCCCCCAGTGTAACCCTTTCCCATTTCACCGCGCTGCCCCCGGCCCCCTGGACGGTTATGTGGCCGCGTGGGGTTGACTCTGCATAGGACTGCGGTGTCTGCACAGAACGCCCTGCCCGTAAGGGGCTCCGCCTGGGGAAGACCCTGTCCTGGCTGGGCAGGAGGAGGGCGTGGGCCCAGAACATGGAGACCAACCTGGGCAATATAGCGAGATCCCATCTCTGCAGAAATAAAAAATTAGCCGACCGAGCACGGTGGCTCACGCCTGTAATTCCGGGCACTTTGGGAGGCCGAGGTGGGAGGAGGGCCTGAGGTCAGTGTCTCTCATGACCGTGTGAAGATACCACCAAACAGGCTTTGTGTGAGCAACCAGGCTGTTTATTTCACCTAGGGGCAGGCGGGCTGAGTCCTAAAGGAGAGTCAGCAAAGAGTGATGGGATTATCATTAGTTGTTATAGGCTTTGGGATAGGCAGTGGAGTTAGGAGCAATGTTTTGCGGGCAGTGGGTGGGTCTCACAAAGTACATTCTCAAGGGTGGGGAGAATTACAAAGAACCTTAAGGGTGGGGGAGATTACAAAGTGCGTTGATCAGTTAGGGTGGGGCAGAAACAAATTACAGTGGTGGAATGTCGTCGGTTGAATGTCCTCAGTTAAACCTATTTTCACTTCTTTTGTGGATCTTCAGTTGCTTCAGGCCATCTGGATGTATACATGCAGGTCACTGGGGATATGATGGCTTAGCTTGGGCTCAGAGGCCTGATAGGAGTTCAAGACTAGCCCGGTGAACATGGCGAAACCCTGTCTCTACAAAAATAAATTAACCCGGCGTGGTGGCTTGCACCCCTTGGGAGGTGGAGGCATTAGTCAGCTGTGAACACGCCCTGCGCTAGAACATGGGCAGCAGAGCAGACCCTCCCTCAAACCCAAAAAGCATCATGCTAACGGGATCAGATGGTCGCCTAATCAGTAGAGACTACGCCCATTCAGGTAAGGCCAGACACAACCAGGCACACTCTTTTTTGTTGTTTTGTTTTTCCTTTATTTGTTTTGAGACGGAGTTTCGCTCTTGTTGCCCAGGCTGGAGTGCAGTGGTGTGATCTCAGCTCACTGCAACCTCCACCTCCCGGGTTCAAGCGATTCTCCTGCCTCAGCCTCCCAAGTAGCTAGGATTATAGGCCTGCACCACCACGCCCGGCTAATTTTGTATTTGTAGTAGAGGCAGGGTTTCTCCATGTTAGTCAGGCTGGTCTCGAACTCCTGGTCTCAGGTGATCTGCCCACCTCAGCCTCCCAAAGTACTGGGATTACAGGCATGAGCTACTGCGCCCAGCTTGCTTTTTTTTAGACAGGGTCTTTGTCATGCACGTCCGTGTGAAGAGACCACCAAACAGGCTTTGTGTGAGCCACAAAGCTTTTTTTTTTTTTTGAGGCAGAGTCTCGCTCTGTTGCCCAGGCTGGAGTGCAGTGGCGCGATCTCGGCTCACTGCAAGCTCCACCTCCTAGGTCCACGCCATTCTCCCGCCTCAGGCTCCCAAGTAGCTGGGACTACAGGCGCCCGCCACCACGCCCAGCTAATTGTTTTGTATTTTTAGTAGAGACAGGGTTTCACCGTGTTAGCCAGGATGGTCTCAATCTCCTGACCTTGTGATCCGCCCGCCTCGGCCTCCCAAAGTGCTGGGATTACAGGCGTGAGCCACCGTGCCCGGCCGCAATAAAGCTTTTTAATCACCTGGGTGCAGGTGGGCTGAATCCGAAAAGTGTCAGCGAAGGGAGATAAGGGTGGGACCATTTTATAGGATTTGGGTAAGGAAAGGAAAATTATAGTTCCTTTAGTGGGGGTTGTTCTCTGGTGGGCAGGAGTAGGAGTCACAAGGTGCTCAGTGGGGGAGCTTTTTGAGCCAGGATGAGCCAGGAAAAGGACTTTCACAAGGTAATGTCATCATTTAAGGCCAGGACCGGCCATTTTCACTTCTTTTGTGGTAGAATGTCATTAGTCAAGGCGGGGCAGGGCATTTTCATCTCTTCTGTGATTCTTCAGTTACTTCAGGCCATCTGGGCGTATAGTGCAAGTCACAGGGGATGCGATGGCTTGGCTTGGGCTCAGAGGCCCAACAGTCTTCCTCTGTGGCTCAGGCTGAAGGGCACTGGGATGATCACGGCTCACTGCAGCTTCCACCTCCCAGGCTCAAGCCGTCCTTCTTCCTCAGGCTCCTGAGTAGCGGGAGCTACAGGTGTGCACCATCATGCCTGACTAATTTTTGTATTTTTTGTAGATAACAGGGTTTTGCTATGTTGCCCAGACTGGTGTTGAACTCCTGACCTCAGGTGATCCCTCTGCCTCGGCCTCCCAAAGCAGTGGGATTAGAGAATGTGAGCCACTGTGCCCAGCTTACTGTATAGTCTTTACTCTTGGTTTTCACCAGAGGACTCAAGGGCTGTGAAAAGAGCAGGACCTCACCAGCTGCACAGCAGTAGTGACTGGCTCCATCTGCTGTCCCTCCCAATCCCACAACATCTCCCCTTGAAGGCTCTGCCCAGGCCCAGACACCCACCTTTCAAGATGTCTGGATCAGTGCAGGACCTCCTTCTTGGACTGGTTCATTAACCCTGTTTTACCCACACTTTTTCTTCTTTTTTTCTTTTCTTTTTTTTTTTTTGAGACGGAGTTTCATTCTTGTTGCCCAGGCTGGAGTGCAATGACTCAGTCTCGGCTCACTGCAACCTCCGCCTTGCAGGTTCAAGTGATTCTCCCGCCTCAGCCTCCCAAGGAGGATTACAGGTACACACCACCACGCCCACCTCATTTTTTTGTATTTTAGGAAGAGATGGGGTTTCACCATGTTAGCCAGGCAGGTGGTCAGGTGATCCACCCGCCTTGACCTCCCATAGTGCTGGGATTACAGGCGTGAGGCACTGTGCCCGGCCTACCCCCTCTTTTCTCTTGATGTAAGTGCTGCTTTGATATGGACATGTTAATCCATAATCTGTTAACATTTATGTATTAAGTTTACTACTATCTGTGGTTTTCGGTGTTGACTGACCTGTGGAGTGGTCTGAGCCTGAATGCCTGGGCTATGGCTACTGAGTGAATGGGTTGTGCTGAGGGGAATTGCCACCTTGGGAACCCTGTGTAGTTATAGCTTTTCTGATTATCAATAAAACTCTGACCTTGTGAAAAAAAACAAACGTGACTGGCCCTGCTTATGTTTCACCTTGCGTTGCTCAGTGACGGTTCTGCAAAGTCGCAGCAAATATGGAATCATGTAATTATCGTGAGTGTTGGTGAGTACCACCCCTAGGCCCTGGCTCCCGGGGACATAGAAAGTCAGGTTCCTCCGAGCTGCCGGCCACAGCAGTTTTTGTTAAGCTGTTCATTGTCAACCTTGTACGTGTGTCTCTCTCAAGGTTCCTTATTTAATAACATCTAGTTGATGCATTAACATGGAATTCATGGCCAGTACCTCTGTCACTCATGCCTGACTGACGTTTATCGACACGTCTTTTTCTCCCTCAGGCACATGGCAGCCTTCTTGCAATCAAGAAACTACATGGGGCCAGGCGCGGAGGTTCACGCATATAATCCCCACACTTGGGGAGGCCAAGGCGGGTGGATCACCTGAGGTTAGGAGTTTGAGACCAGCCTGACCAATATGGTGAAACTCCGTCTCTAGTAAAAATACAGACATTAGCCGGGTGTGGTGGTGCACACGTGTAATCCCAGCTACTCGGGAGGCTGAGGCAGGAAATCTCGGGGGTGGAGGTTGCAGTGAGTTGAGATCGCCCCACTGCACTCCAGCCTGGGCGACGGTAAGACTCCATCTCAAAACAAAAAAATTAGCCAGGTGCGGGAGGGAGGGTGCCTGTAATCCCAGCTGCTCAGGATGTTGAGGCAGAAGAATCGCTTGAACCTGGGAGGTGGAAGTTGCAGTGAGCCGAGATTGTGCCACTGCACTCCAGCCTGGGCAACAGAGCGAGGCTCTGTCTAGAGAAAAGAAACAATGCTAAAGTCTGATCCTCAGACCCCATTCAGTTTTTTGTTGTTGTTGTTTTTGTTTGTTGAGACAGAGTCTTGCTCTGTCGCCCAGGCTGGAGTACAGTGGTGAGATCTCGACTCACTGCAACCTCTGCCTCCCAGGTTCAAGCGATTCTCCTGCCTCAGCCTCCCTAATAGCTGGGACTACTGGTGCTGCCACCACACCGGGCTAATTTTTGTATTTTTAGTAGAGACGGAGTTTCACTGTGTTAGCCAAGATGGTCTAGATCTCCTGACCTCGTGATCCGCCCGCCTCGGACTCCCAAAGTGCTGGGATTACAGGCGTGAGCCACCGTGCCCGGCCCTTTCCGGCCCTTTTTTCTCTCTGGGAACAAGACAGTAAGCTCCGGGGAAGAAACAGGACCCAGCTTCATCTTTTCTTATCTTTTCTTGAGGCCTAACAGGGCTGCGCACGTCTTCAAATATTTGCTGAGGCTGTGAATTATAAATACAAAGGTAGAATCCACTGTGTCCAATCCACTGTGTCCAAGCAGAAGAGAGGGTGTGGTGGGGAGCGGGCAGTGGGGTGACAAAGTCACCTGGCTGCCAGGCTGGATGGGTGAACACATTCATCATCTTGAGGCATGCGAGCTTCTCCTGCCTCTATCTGGCCGTCCTTCAGCCCATTTCCCCCCGACTTCTGCCTCCACCTCCAGGACGTCCTGAGGGTGTACCGGCCTCCCACCTGCTAAGTCCAACAGACACTTCAGCCTGGCTCTCACCAGCTATGGCAAGTTGTCCTCCTCCCTCTTCCTCTTCCTCGGCTGCAGAGACACCTCCTCTCCTTGTTTTCCTCCCACGTTAACAGTGACCACACTCACGCCACGTCACTCATGGTATTTCTGCAACAGAAATGCCATCCTTGGGCCAGGCGCCATGCCTCATGCCTGTAATCCTTTGGGAGGCCGAGCCGCGTGGATCCCTTGAGGCCAGGAGTTCAAGAACGGCCTGGGCAACACAGACAGACCCTGTCTCTACAAAAAGAAAAAGTTTTTAAGCCATCCCTGATTTTGCAATGCTACTCTGATCTGAGCCCCTGCGACCTCGGGATCCCCAAGCGTCTGTTCCCGGGAACGCGGGGCGGAGAGCCTAGTCCTGCACGGAATACCAACGACGTTAAGTCGACGGGTTGTTTCGACTTAGTTCTCTTTCCTGAGGGGTTCTGAATAAGTAATGAGCACCCCACAACTCCTCCGTGCCGCCATGTTCCCTCCCGGCCACGTCCCCTTACTCGCCCTCCAATCTGCGCCCTGCACCCTGGCAGCGCCCCCTGGCGGCGGCAGCGGGTCTTTGTGGAGCCAGCCCCGTCGCCGCTTGGCCGCTGGGTTTGTTCCTTATTTTAATGGGTGC